TGTCTCATACTGACTGACAGCAATATTTCTCTTCCCCAGCAGACTCCAAGGGCATTAAAATAAAGGTACAGTGTTCTGCACTAAATATAAAGGCTCTCTGAAGCCTAGAAACACCCTTTTTATAAGTTAAATTCGCAGCGAATATATTCGCATCGAATCGAATTTATTCCTCGAATTCGCCGATTCAGCCGAATCGAATTTTTGAATACTTCGCTCATCTCTAGTCTTGATACATTACCCTGAACTGTCCACACTCCTCCTTATTTGCTATGGACCCAGTATCTTCACCTTCTCCTCATCCTTCTCCTATTTTTCTCCCTTTCTATCAAGACTGCTGCAGTAGCAGTGGCAACTACTGCCATAACCAAGGACATAGAAGGATGAAACATGCTGAACAACACACCAAAACAACACACCACCACACTACTCTCTACATAAAAACAAAGAAGTGTATAGGAAGTTAACACCTTTTATTTATGTCAGAAATTATTCTATTGCTATTAGCCAGAGCAAAAATCTCAGCTGTGTCCCATTTGCATGAAAATCACATTAGTGTGAATCTAGACTTGCTTTGGAATCACATTACATTCTCAGCTGTCCTGTACAAACCGTACTGAAAATTTGCACTGCACAAAAAAAAATGCATAAAATTTGCAAGAAATCGCACCGCATATGTGTGAACCTAAGCTCAATGTAAAAAGGCAGCAGTAGACAACATTATCTGCCTACATGATATCGAAAAATATTCATCCTTCAACTTGCAAGCATGTCCCAAGTTTTTTTTTTTGGTATGTAACCCTAGTTTTCCCTTTACTTTCTGTTTGAGTGGCTGAGCTGATCATTTGCAATATCAGTGGTAAACCAGTTATTGGCTTGTTGACATGCATGTCCTTCCTCTGGCTCTGTTGCTGATTTGCATGCTCACACAATCAGTGTACATATTGCTTTTGTGGACATGTATTTCTCATGTTCTAGTGCAGCCTTTTTCAACCAGGGTGCCCTGGGGTACCTTGGCAAAATGTCTAGAAATTGCCAGAAACTTGTATACAAGTCAGTGGGTGGAACAAGCCTGCCTTTTAATTACACAAAGCCACAGAATTTCATTGTGCACCATTAGGACCTTCTAGCCACAGGTGTCCTGACAACAAATGGCATCATCAGTTGGTATGGAGAATGTTGGCTGCCTGCACAGCATCCTTGTTTGACCCTCTCCTGCCCCTTTCCATCAGTGCTGGGTTCACATTAACTCAGTGATGGAGAAAAATACTGGAGATCATAGAGGGAGAAGAGAAACATGGAATACTAGGCAGTACTAGTGTACAAAAGTGTATTTGCTTTGGAAGAATAAATCAATTCTAATGTTGGGTGTCCTACATGTGTGGATGTTTCTGTTTTATATAAAACTATTAGAATAGTTTTTCATATTTTAAAATGGGGTGCCTCAAGACTGTCCATAATTTTAATGGGTGCCTCAAGACTGTCCATAATTTTAATGGGTGCCTCGGGACTGTCCATAATTTTAAAGGGTACTTTGACAGAAAAAGGTTGAGAAACACTGTTCTAGTGTTTATACAGTACATCTACATGCAACCAGGGTTTGTTTTTTGTCACTATAGCACCTAGGTTCTAATGTTAATGCAGCCAAGTACCAAAATACTGTTGTCAAGGTAAAGACCTTTTTCCAAAATGCAGCTGTCCTGCAGAAGTTGATGTGCTGTTGCTTTCTTTTCTTTCAGTCAGCCAGCTGGGGAAGAGTGAATTCATTCCAAGCTTAAGTACTCTAATATATAAAACACCTGGAACTTTGGGAGATGCAGATCTAAACAGCGGCCATACTGATGAGATGCTGCCCTTTTAAACTACTAACCCCTATGGCCTGTGTGTGACAGGAGGAGCTAAGAGAGTTTATATTGTTTTCCCAGGAAAAGATTACTCTCTTGGTGCCACAGGGATCCAAGGAGAACAGACCCAATGGAGCGAGTCACACAAGAGGGCTTGGGAGTAGGCCTAAGTTTTTGGGGTCAGCATCACTATTTGTGCAGTTCACAGACTGAGGCTGCTGCCATGGGATCACTGCATTTACCAGACCCTCTACCTTGTATTTTGCTGTGAGACCTGTGTATCCCCCAAGTGCAATGAACTGCCATAGTGAACTGAGTCACTACCATCAGGAACCAGCTAAAAAATGGGAGGCCTTCTGCCACCGTAAGACTTTGCAACCTCACAAGGTGTTGGTGAGCAGTCCATCATCCCATCTACACTTAATACTAAACATACTGCTGAAGACATACTACCCCTTACTACACCACCTTGAACTCAGATCCCTTCTGCTCTGAGATTTCCATTGCTTGATTTCACCTTGCATTTACTGACATCACAGAGTGAAGCTACATCATAGTTATCACACACCCCTAGCTAACAAGCATTGCTCTATTTAGTTATAACTGCATCTTCACTGCTTGCATTACATATTATAATCTCTAGTGCACCAACATCTACAGGGTCTCAATGTTATCTGGCTGAAGATTCAGCTAGAGACTGCCCCTTGACATTGTTAAGTAAGATTTGCTCATTGCCTGCCAGGCATACTGGGTGGTATTGCTAGTTTATGCTGATTTAAGCTATTACATCATACTGTATATGCTTGTTTTTTTATTTTCCTTATTTTATTTTTTTATAATCTCCTGATTATCCTCCATTATCTAACCAGTGTGCTAATGTCAGAGCTGGGCTCCTGCTATTTAACGAGCAGCTCTTTTCTTTCGGGGCTCAGAAGTTACTCAGCTGTCGGTTAATTACCAGCTACTCTCTATCTTCACAGTGTCTCACCTGGAAACCTGCCTCATTGGTCCATCCCACAGCCAGCCTGTTTTGCTATTTTAGCAGCTTAGCTCATTTTCTCCTTACCCTTGTGTGGTCTATGTTTTCTTCCTGTGTTCCTGTGTACAGCTTTGTCTGTCTGACTTCTCTTCTGATTCCTGTTCCTGGTTTTTGCTCCTGGCTACGCTGACTTCTGGTTTCCTGTCCCCAGCTCATCTGATTACCCTCTCTGGCATCCAAATGATGGCTTCTGTTTTGACTACGTTCCTGAACTGTGTAATTTTTGTTATTTATTAAAGGTGTGATTTTAACTGCACTTTCTGTCTCCACCTGGTTTATGGTTCCTGACAGCTGTGTTGTGTAAATGTAATTGTTATTGACTTTCATTTGTTTGTGAATCAACCCTCCTAATACTAACCAATATTTTCACTTGCACCCATGGTTCATTGGTCTCACTTAAGATAGCCAGAGTACTGGGTGTAAAGGAATTTCTATGTGTCTTTGACCAATGGGCAGACTGACAACTCATGGGGCCCCCGGGCAATAGGGGATCATGGGGCCCCTGTGTCCTTTCCCAAAATCAAAAAAGCCTATGAAAAAGGTACCAGGGGCATCTCATGGGGCCCCCTACTGACCCCGGGCCCTCGGGCAGTGCCCAAGTTTTCAAATGGTCAGTCCGCCCCTGCTTTGACCCCTTATCCAGTAGACTGGTGTGTCAGTAGGACTGAAGCCTTTGAAAGGTTGTGGGAGAGAACAGAGGACCCATCTTAACCAGCGCTCATCTGGCATTAGCAGTACATTATTTGACTAGAGCATTATGGGTTATCTAAATAAATAGGACAGCAATAACTGTTTGCTTCCAGACATCTGCACCTAATTTATAGTCTAGATAGAGCTGTCCAAAGCTGAGAGAAATGGGGATGGGTAATTCTAAGTGTGTTTGTAATTTGAGCTTGAGCTATTGAGCAGGTTTATTTTTTCAGAAATTGAGTTTAGCATGCTAAAACAGCCTAGAGCTCAACCTGCTAGCTGGAATAATAAACGTGAATTATTCAAATGCAAAATTTTATGTTTACCTGACTAAAAATGTATTCAAGTAAGAAAATATTTACAATAATAGTGCACACTAACTTTTTCCACTTGGAGCTTGCTCCCAGAGAGCCATTCGGGGCTTTTTTTTTCTTGCATTCTTTGCAAAGAAAAATTTCCCCACTTGCTAAACTCAGGAAAATTCCCTTGCAAAGTGCAACTTTCCTTGCAAAGTGAACAGCCTATTTTCTAACCCTATGAATTATGGGAGGGGAAATTAGATGCCCACTATTATCCAGTTCCAAGATAATATTTATTAAGATATTTAAATATTATTTAACTAAATGAAACTGAAATTCCATCAAAAACATTTTATGGGTGGGGTACAGTAAAAACATCTTTCATTTCTTTATTGCCGTGCATGGCCACAACAAGGAGCTTTTCCCCTTACCTGGAAAGAAAGCAAGTGGAATTGTTTTAAGGGTAACCCCACCTTAATGTAAAAAAGTAACATTAAAAAAAAACATAGCATATACAATTGCTACTTAATTCATGTTGTGATTTAATATTAATAAAATTACCGTTCCTTTTCAATCTGCAGTATTGTAATTTTCTGTAACATTCAATGCAATATGGCATCCTGGAGGCCTTCTGTACAAAGCTGGTGTGCAAAACGTACGCAAAAATGTCATTTTATGTTTGAGTGTTTGGCTCACTGGTTTTTCCCAAAAGTCTGCATTAAAATATAAGTCAGATTTTAGGCATTCTTCAACAAAAATGTCATTTTTGGTGAGACTTTTCCCATCAGAACCCATTAGAACCACAAAAGTTGACCAGCTAATTCAAATGAGTTAGTCTCTCCCATTCTGTATGAATATCCAAAGGATAAACATCTATTTCTTCTGAGCAGAATCAGGTAGGAAGCTGCAACAGAGTTTTTCTAAAATCCTTGCAATGTACATTGATTAGCCGGGGAAGGGGGGATTGTTTTTTTTTTTTCAATAAAAGGGGAGTTACTTTTTATACTAAAACACAGGCACTTTTTTAGTAGAGTGGGAAGAGGTAGAACATCTGTCAAGTTTTCATTGCTGTCTGAGCCCTTGTAAATTAAATTTCCACTTCATGTTTTGTCACTGGGAACCCTTTGGGGCTGAACCCTTCAGGTCACAGTTGGCCATCACACTCTAGATCCTCTTCTTTCATATGATTCTAGGGCAGGATCACCAAATATGGCCATGTTTATATGTGTGTTTGGAGGATGTATATTTTTGCCCCTGTAAATGATCCCAGACGACTCATAAGTTAATTCAGCAACAAGTGTGGAAGCAGCTAAGAGGAGTCATAAAGATGGCATCTAAAGTAACATGCAGCTGCCCCAGTTTATGTACTCCACAGTCCTCATGATGTTCTCCATAAAAGACAAGTGAAATCTCTGTCATCACATAACTTAACTGGTAACAGAAAGGGTGATACAGTATATGGCATAATATTTTAGGTGCTTTTGCGGCAGCATGATCGCTGTATGAAGCACTATTTGTGTCTATTTGGGAGGTATACCGTATATTGTTTTGCTTATTTTTTTGTTTTTTTTCTTGTAAACTAAAGGAACAGAGGAAGAACACCACTATATTACTATTTGCCTTCAAATTAGGGTTAACTGATTGTTTTAAACTAAAGAATATATGTTGCAATTATTCTTAAGAAACCCAAAAATATAATGTTTGAATCATCTCTTTTAAAGCATTTTTTCAGCAATTCTAACATGGAGGGAAGTTGTAACAAATTGGTCAATCTATATCATTACACTGATTATCTGTTCAAATAAGGAAATGGTATGACTTTGGTTGTCTTCTCTGAGAGATAAGAATCGCATACCTGGGCTCCTGGTAAGTTTCTGCTTTCTTCATTCATGGCCATTAGGGAACAAGTATTCCATTGTTGTATATCATGCAAGGAGGAGGTGGAAAAATGGCAAGTTGCACAGAAAACAAAGATGGGGAATCATTTAGTGCAACCCTACACTTAGACAGGTGCCATTCTTGGATCCTTAATTGACTTCATTTGTTACTTATACCTGCAAATCACACTGTTATCATCATTAAACAAGCAATAGAAAACCAGAGTTTTGTCACTGCCTCAGATAACACAGCAAGATCCCAAATGTTCCAGCCATATTGGCTTACTGGTTTCATTTCACTTCATTACGTTGAACTGAAATCAAATACTTGTAGAAAACAAATTACATTGCAGTACCCTTGTTTGTTCCTACACTCTGCGCAAGGAAGTGCATTTGAAGACTATACAGCTAGTATCCCATAACATAAGACAATTTTAAAGGGTCACCTCTGTCAGGATTACATCCTCATCACAGGAAACTCCATTGATGTATCTACCTTTTTGAATTGCTATTTCCTTTTTGCTTTTACAACCTGAAATTTGTTTGGAATTTATGGGAAAATATATGTTATATATATTTTTTTTTATTGAAAACATTTTCAGTTATCTTTATGTAAACATAATCCTTTCCCTTAAAAATGCGAATTTTCCATATGCATCTTTTGGTGTGAGTATCTAGTGAAGCAGATTTTTTTAGCATCATTTGGCACGCATTTGTGAAGTTATCTGCCTGTAGCTATATGCCCTACTATGCTATCTTTCTGAATTCCTTGAAAGAAAGGTAAGTGCTGACCCCAGTCCAAAGGTAAACTCATTTCTGTTGCATTATTCACTAGAATCATCTGTACTGACTCACAGTTTTCATTGCTAATATAATAAAATGCACAAAGTCTGACATATTTTGGACTATTAACACTAT